ATAACACCTGAGTAACGCGATTGTAACCGATCATCGGTTACTATGGTCGCAACGCGAATGCTCGATTACGAAATTACAACGATTGACAACACTAGTGTCATGGTCTCCTCACTAGAATCTGTTAAGGGGTGTGGAGGGGAGGATACGTGGCAACGGGAGGGTGTTGTATAGCGTATTCGCGTGGAGAGTACGTGTACGTAAATATAGGAGAAGCGTTACCGCGACGTGATAACACCACCGTTCCTCTCTTGGGGAAACGTTTTCTATTATTTATGATTGTCATCATCGTTAACGTGATCATTGTTATTATTAATATTATTATCATTACTACTACTATTATTGTTATTATTACTATTATCATCATCAGCATCATTTACTATGATATCGTTCTTTTTGGTAGAGACGTACGGACGCTATTTGCGGAACGTGTCATTCTCACGTAGTATTGTCATACGCTGTCAGTTCCTCGCGATGGACTGAATAACCTGAAACTAAAATCTCGCTGTTTTTCTCTACAGTTGTTGAAGCGGCAGGTGGGAGCGAGGTTGGGAAGTGGTCCTGAGGATGCGAAGCCAATCAAGGTGAGGGATGCGGCAGCAGCAAGCAGCAGGCAGCATGGCAGGCAGCACGTAGTAAGGCTAGTAGGGGCTAGTAGCAGTAGCAAGCAAGCATGTAGGGCAGTAGCAGGGCAGCAAGCAGCAAGCAGCAGTAGTAGTAGCAGCAGTACGTTACGATAGTAGCAGTAGTAGCAGTAGCAGTAAAGATTAGCAGTAGCTAGTAGTAGTAGCAGCAAAGGCAGTAGCAGGAGCAGCAGTAGTAGCAGCAGCAGCAGTAGTAGTAGTAGCAGGCAGCAGCAGCAGGCAGCGCAAGCAGCAGCAGCAAGTAGGGCAGCAAGCAGCAGCAGCAGCAGCAGCAGTAGTAGCAGTAGCGTGTGTGTGTTGTGTGTGTGCATGTATGCACGCATGTGATACCATGTTGTTCCCGTTTGCAGGCGCATTCCTTCTCAGGCACGTCAACTGGGCCGACGTGATCAGCCGACGGATGGAGCCGCCGTTCAAACCCGCCCTGGTGAGTCCTAGCCAGCCCCCTAACGAGCGGCGTATATACGCAAGCAACAGTTATATTACTTTTCGCCTAGGCGCGGCGTACGTCGCAGGCCAGCGAGAGCGAAGCGGCGTCGTTTTTGTTCGTAAATCGTCGTGAAATCGGCGTTTCGAGTCGCGAGAATCGACGCCGGCGTGGCGACGCTACTGACAAGCGCGCGCCGGCCGACCCTGTAGTTCGCTTTACGCCCCGCAGATGTCTCTGTGCGTGGTCTGCTGCCGCGATGCCCACGTAATAAGCGAAGAGCGAAGCTGCTCCCTGACCGTAGACGATCGCGGGAGAGAGACTGTGTCGGCGTGGACGACTCATCGCGTTGTTCTTCGTTACATTGTTTCTTAGATCGGCGACGACGATGTGAGTCAGTTTGACACAAAGTTCACGAAGCAGACGCCCGTGGATAGCCCCGTGGACTCGTCACTCAGCGAGAGCGCACAGCAAGTGTTCTTTGTGAGTGTACAGCGCTGAGGCGCGAGAGTTGCCTTGCATATATATATATATATAGAAGTAACAATACATGAACACCCATATTGATATGAAAATAATTGTAGAAAAAATAGAATAAGGTGTTAAATTTTTATATGTATATTATTCTCTATATATATATATATATATAAATGGCCCAATGTCTCGTTTATCTGTTTCATCCATGCATATAGTATCTACTTCACTAATCATTCATAATCACTCGTACATTCCCAAAGATTGTTTGCAGAGGTGCATAAATATAATAATAATGATGATTGTAATAAATCGTAATGCTAATCAGCGCCATTAGTACGCTCACAACTACCGCGTAAGACTAACGTTAAGAGTAATCTTGTTTCCCGACGATGGGGCCCCAAGTCCCGCGATCAACTCTTGCGAACCAACCCGCAGTCACACCTCCATATTATTCGTCACTCGCCTACTCCCGTCATTCCTTGAATCCTGTTGTTCGTTTGCTGACTCCCATTGTTCGTTTGTTGACTCCCGTTGTTCGTTCCTTGACTCCCATCGTTCCTTGACTCCCATTGTTCGTTTATTGACTCCCATTGTTCATTTATTGACTCCCATTGTTCGTTTGTTGACTTCCGTCGTTTTTTGACTCCCATCGTTCTTTGACTCCCATCGTTCCTTGTCTCCAGTCATTCCTTGACTACCATTGTTCACGCGTCTCGATTGTGGATGTGCACATCAAGGAATATCTCGTTAATCTGTCTAACGGAGCCTCCTCCCCGAGCTCGTTGCCGTCGGTTACTAGTCGCTGAAGCTGGAAATGTTTAGTCGCTAATTCACGTTGTTGTTTCTCGCTCTCTCTCTCTCGACAGTTTTTATCTCGCCGAGATCACGCTGGCGTTGGAGCATCTACACTCGCAGGGCATCATCTATCGAGATCTGAAGCCCGAAAACATTCTCCTCGATCACTCAGGTGAGCGCGCCGCCCCCGCACTGTCGTCGCACGACGGCGTAATTTTGATAAGTGGATGCTCTTCTGTGGTACATCCTGGTGGTGTATGATCGTCGATTCCACCCAAAACATGTTCTTACACCCCACTGTCTTAAAAAAAACATTGTCTCCACGAATTTACATTGATCTGAAAAAAAACGGCCCTCGTGGCAACGATAAAACAACAACGCCGACCCACGGGGAACACTCGTTCCCGTTCTTCGACCGTGCGTGTGGGGGTATAGCTCGTGCCCAGACGGAATGCGTGCCGATTGATCATGCATGACAACGTCACCCGTGGACGTGCGTGTGGTTCACATCCATTGATTCAAGTCGGGCACGTTTTATACCCAGCAAACACGGTCAAGGAATGGGAATGGAGTGAGGATGAGTTGAGTTTTCCGTGGATCAGTGTTTTTCTCGTTGTTTCCCCTTGTTTTTTTCGTTGCCACCATGTCTGTTTTTTTAAGATCAGTGTAAATTCGTGAAGAAAAAAGCTTTTTCGGAGTGAGGGTGTTCGAATATGTTTGAGTGGAATTGATGCTCAGATACCAGGTTTCATGGTCAGGATCATATCTGGTTTTATATCAGGATTCATAATCAGTAAACCAGTATATGCACTACAGAGCATCCAATTATATATCAAAATATTCTTGGAGGTGCCCCCTCGCAAACCCCCTCCTATGGGAAGGGGATGCTTTTTCTCATCTCCATGTAAAATCAATCGCATGTTTATTTGCATTGAATCATCCAGTCACTAAACAATTCATTGAATATCATCATATTATATTGAATGTCATCATCACTCGGAATACATTACTAGACCCTTGGTGAGTGATTCTGTGCGTAAGCTATTGGTGCGTCGTCGACGCAGGCAGTTTGATAGCATCGCAGGCACGCCTTGCCGCGCTGGCTGTGTCGTCTGTGGGGGAGGTCGTAACACAGTGTGGCTAACGGGTTTTCTCTCTGCCTTCCGCAGGTCACGTGAAACTGACCGACTTTGGCCTATGCAAGGAATCGATCATGGAGAACAATCTGACGCACACGTTCTGCGGAACAATAGAATACATGTAAGTGTGTGTGTGTGTGTACACGTGTGTGTGTGTGTGTGTGTGTGTGTATGTATGTATGTTTGTGTGTGTCTGTGCGTGTGTGCGTGTGTGCGTGTGTGCGTGTTTGTATGCGTGTGTGTGTGTGTGTATGCGCGTGTGCATGCCCGTGCGTGCGTGTGTGTGTACGCGCGTGTGCATGTCCGTGCGTGCGTGTGTGTGTACGCGCGTGTGCATGTCCGTGCGTGCGTGCGTGTGTGTATTTGCATTACGCATATAATTACCTACTGCATATAGTATGGGATTAGCGTAGCACTGCATCATCAATATGTTGATTTATTCAGACAGAGGAGGATTAATTTGACAAATGCCTTAGGATAGGGTTAAGGTTAAGGCTAGGGTTAAGTTTGCTGTGAGGGTTAGGGTCAGGGTTAGGATAGGGTTAGGGTTAAGTTTTCTGTGAGTGTTAGGGTCAGGGTTAGGATAGGGTTAGGGTTAGGGTTAGGATAGGGTTAGAATTATGATTAGGATAGAGTTAGGTTTAGGATGAGGTTTGCCATGAGGGTTAGGGTTAGGTTTGCCATGAGGGTTAGGGTTAGGTGTGCCATGAGGGTTAGGGTTAGGTTTGCCATGAGGGTTAGGATAGAGTCCCGCTGCACCTGCCCGTTAACAGGTGGTCGTGGTGTGGATGTGTTGCAGGGTTAGGGTTAGGGTTAGGTTTGCCATGAGGGTTAGGATAGAGTCCCGCTGCACCTGCCCGTTAACAGGTGGTCGTGGTGTGGATGTGTTGCAGGGCGCCTGAGATACTGACGAGGAGCGGACATGGCAAGGCGGTCGACTGGTGGAGCCTGGGAGCGCTCATGTATGACATGCTGACGGGAGCGGTAAGTCTGCGGCTACTCCTCCTCCTCCTCCTCCTCCTTCTCCTCCTCCTCCTCCTCCTCCTCCTCC